GAGAATGGAGACTGCCAGAGATTTGTAGAGTGTCTAGCTTGTTTGAAAGCTGATTAAGCACTTGGGACAATATTGCCCTGGTTTTTCGAGTACTTACAAGTTTCATCGGAATCTATTAAATTAATTCTTGAAGAGGAATAAGAGGAATACAGTTTCTGTCTTTTTTCTTTGTTTCTTTAATTTTTCGTCTGACAACGCAACCAGATGTGACGTCAGTGTTTCAAAAGCGTCTTTCTAAATCCCTGTTCCTTGCGGAAAAGTAAAATCAGGCAGGTCGTTTTCATCCCCAAAATATTTGCTCTTCCTTTTACAGCCGTCTTCTATAGAAAATGTATGCAGCCAAGATACTTTAGTTTTTAAATTTTCTTTTACTAAACATTCACCCAATTCCTAGACCCAAGAACTGCTCAAGGTTAAGCGTTACCGAATGTGGTCGCTCTCTGGTAAGAGGAAAGTGTAGATTATGAGGATAGATAACGCTTTACAAAGGGTTAGGGGGGTCGTTGGAATAATGGGTAGCGGCTGGGTTTGAGGAATCAGAGAGCCGAGTTCGAATTCCAGTCGGATTCATTATATTTAACTAGGTACTAATACCCTTGGGAAAGGTATGAATTATCTTCTCCTCCTAACTATGGAGAAATAGAAGGGCAACCTGGGTTCTATAGCCTTGGATGGCAACCAGTCTAGGAGTAAATAACTCTGAATTTCAAAACTGTATGTAGCTCTGGCGTAGCACATACCACACAGCTAGAATTAAAAGATAACATTGGGTCGACGATCCCAAATACGGTCGAATGATGATGTTGAAGAATGGAAGATGTTATGTTTGCAGTGATCTGAGTGGGGGTAGCTTCTTCTCGGGAGACTATACCAGAAAATAGCGGTTCTTGGGAAGAAGCTGAGTCGATCTTCCTTACAAATGGAATACGAATGAAATGAAGAAGATTCGACTTGTGTATATGAGATGACGAGTCTTAGATGTAAGTCTCTGAACTGCCAAGATATAAAACGTGAATCAGTGATAATATATTTTCATCTCTTTTAGAATGTGGGATTACCCCGTCCTTGCCTTTTAAGAGACTTCTCTTAACGAACGCAAGCTGGCATCCTATCATGTTGTATGAAAGGAAAGAAATAAAACCATCATTCTCTTGTTCTCTCTCTAGCCCCAAAATGCTGTAGTGTCAAGAAATTTCTCGTTTCCCTTCGGAGATTTAATTCCCAGGCCTACTACACTATATTCACACATAGCTGTCTCCTGTTCAAAAATAAATAAATAAATAAAAAATCATGCGACAATCATATAGTTATATATTTCTCAACTTTTCTGTGAAAACACACAACACAAACACATCCAACATTAGTTCTTGAGGCTGGGTAGAGTCCTGCTTGTAGGTGGAATTGGTAGAAAAAATCCGTTCCTTGTTTGATTTCTCGCTGAGAAAAGAAGCTTAGATTTAAAAACTGTGATTGGTGGTGGGTGGAAGATGAGTGAAATGTTGACTTCTTGACTTGACTTGTATCGGTCTTCACCCTGGTCGGGTTAAACCGGCTTCCTCCCGAGCATGTACAGCGTCACGGGCCATCGCTGCCCACGCTCGCCGATCCTGGGCCAGGTCACACGGAATGGCGAGCCAATCGCGATTCAATAGTCGAAGACCAACAACTTGTGGACCCGATAGGACTGTTAGGTCATCCTTGATTGTGCTAGCCCACGCCCTCAGCTGCCCACCGACACGTTTTCGCCAGCCAGGAAGAGAAGGAGGGAGAAGTCATTTTTTTAGATACTGAACATAGAAGAAAAAGGGTTGTAGAACCAGGCGTGGGGGCGGTATTAGTGTTGAAAGATTTTGTGAGTTAAGCGCAGTGTAAGACCATAGCTAGTTTGTCAATAAAAGTAAAATGAAAGAGAAAAAGAAAAAAGGAAAAGAGAGAGAGAAAGAGAGAGAGAGAGAAGAAAGAAACAGCACACAAAAGGGGATAAAGAATTATTTTTAGAAAATGGGGGAAAGGGGTCTGAAAAACGGGGGGAAATGGGGGGTGCGGTTAAATGGGGGTACGGAAGGGGGCGGAAAAAGTAAACTGAAATAAAAATAAAAAATAATAGAAAATACTAAAAATAAAGATAATGATAATACGAAGAGGGGGGAAAATTATATAAAAATAGATGTGTTGTGTATCGAGACAGGATCAGAGTGTAAAAAGCCAATAAAAATGAGATTCAATAAAAGAGAAGAAAAGAGGCAAGAAATAGTACAAATAAAGGAATAAAGAATCCTTTTGGAAAATCAGTCAGAAAATGGGGGAGGGGGAGGAAAAAATAAACTGAAATAAAAAACTTAACAGATATATATATATATATATATATATATATATATATATATATATATATATATATTACCTGATTTAAAATATGTTTTCTTCGCTACACAGTAATAACCATGTTTCAAAAAATGAAGCTAAAAACTTCAAATTTAATTATATAATTAAATTAAAACTA